GAGAGAGAGAGAGAGAGAGAGAGAGTGGGACAATGAGGACAAAAAAAAGTGTAGTGAATGGGTTTATAAGCATTCAAGAAAAAAAATTGATGGGAATGTGGTTGTGCTGATGCAGACACAAAGAGAGGAGAGGAATGGAACGTGCCCGAGTAAGGAAAGAGAGAAGGAGGATCAATATAGCGAGCATCTGCCCTTTGCCTTCACCTTTTCTTCCCTCGCACATGTGGGTGTATGACAAGAAATATAGAACGGGAAAAGACAGAAACATGTGAGGAGCATATATGCCCTACGCAACGGCACTCTTGTTTGTGCGGCCCTTTACGAGGTTAAGTTGCACGAAGAAGCAAAAAAAAAAAAGGCACGAATGCACACACACACACACGAGTGTGCGAGAGGAAGAGAGAGAGAGGCTGAGTGTGTGTGTGAGGGTGTACTGGGCGGATGCGGCGTTATTGACACACCAGACGTTAACAGACCGAATGTGGGGCTTTTTGATATGCGTGTTTGCTTGGGAATGACGCCGTGCTGTTGTGGTGTGGCGGGTGCCAGAGCGGCCGCATTTCCCCATGCTTCACGCATGGTGATTATATTCTATTAGCAACAGATCGACTACGGGCCCTCAAAAGACGAATTCGTCAGCGTATGAAAAAAAAACATAGTGAAGAGATCGACAGAAGCAACGCGGGGAAGCGAGGAGGAAACGTTGCAGAGAGGAAGAAAATGTCTATGGGCTTCTTCGGTGCGCGTCTGGGTTGTGGAATGCTGAGTTTTTTTTCCTATTTCTTCTTTTTTCTTCGTTTTCTTCTTCCCTCTTCGTTGAGAAAAAAAATGTGAGAGCATCCATTTCTTTTATCACGACTACCAGCGCGACATGATATAACGGCAAGCAACACGAGAACTTGCTACGTGCGGCCCCTTCTGGGTTCGCCGACTGCTGTCAATGTATCTGCACCTGACGTTCTCTATGCGTGTGCCGTCTTATCATTGTGTCTGTGTGCCGCTTTTCTTTCCCCCTTTGCTAGCTGTGTGTTGTGGCTGCAGGTGATTGATTTTAGGGGAGGAGGGGGTAGCGGTATCTTGGTGTACTGTTCTTCACCACAGCGCCTGGCAATGCATAAAGGCGGGCGCGCGGGTTTCGTTAAATACGCCACATCCTCCAGCAGTAGTGATGGCAACAGCAACACCAACAACAAAAATGGCACCGCACACAATTACAGCCCTCAACTGGCACAGCGAGCAGCTGTGACATCTGAGGCTGCTGAAGAAACAAACACATCCTTGATGGTTTCTGCTATTGGTTCTGTTCCTCCTCCGTTCTCCCCACATACAGTGCAGCAGGAGGGGGCGTGTGTGGCGCCAGAGATCTCTACATTGCCTGCTGGTGGATTTCCTGTGTACGAGGGTGCCACGAAGGCCGTGACGCAACTGACTTCCCATGAAGCAGATCCGTCTCCTAGACGCTTCTTACCGGTGCCAGTGGCATCATCATCGTCAGCAGGTGGAATAGGAAGGGGAGATGAGCTTAGAATCGGCACAAAGGTGATTTTTCAGCGACCCGCAACGACAACATCTGGCGACCGCTCTTCCATGGCATGGGAGCTGGGGAAAATAGTGGAGGTGATGTCAGCTTATGGTGGCGGGGGAGATGATAAAGCTTGCGCCAGTGCGGAGAGCGATAACGATGTTGTTATTTTGGAGGAGTTGGCCACTGGGACGTGCTGTAGGGGGCGGGTCCGAACCACACGTAAGAATGTCTGGCGTTACACCTATGAGGGTTCATCGTTTGACCTGAACGACCTCACTACTCTACCGGACCCCAGTGACGCTGCTGTGTTGTATTCTTTGCGGCAACGCTATTTTGAGGGACTACACTACACCTTTGTTGGTCGGATGCTGTTGGCTGTGAACCCTTACCAACGCTCTGTTTATCCCCCACATGCCCCCCACCCAAGACACGTGGCGGAGGCTGCCAGGGAGGCTCTTCGTGGACAAGGCTGTATCAGCTGCAGTAACGAGAATGGCTACAACGGCACTGAAGGTGATGCTGGCAACGGTGACTATGCAAAGCTAAAAGGGGCGGCTCCCACGGCACTGCAACGCCCGGTGGCTGTTATTGTGACTGGAGAGAGCGGAGCGGGGAAGACTGAGACGGCGAAGCTTGTCCTCCACCACTTCCTCAGACACGTGGGTGGTGAGGGGACCCACCTACCACCTGACACACATGAAGCAGCGGAGGCCACGCCAAAACGCATTCTTCGTATCCTTGACGCGGCGAATTGCCTCCTCGAGTCTTTTGGTAACGCGTCGACACCCCTTAATAGCAATTCTTCTCGCTTTGCCAAGTGCGTCACAACCTTTTTGGACCCTCGCTCCACTGAGGGTGTTGGCGCCCATGTCGAATGCTACCTCTTGGAAGTGTCGCGTCTGACTGCACGATCGCTAGATGAGTCGACGTTCCATATCTTCACCATGCTCTTTGACGAAACACACGGCCTGACATCAGAGGAGCAAAGCCGCTTTGACGTTTGGGACCCCTCTCTTTTTCGCGCCATGCTGTCCGACGTGGCAGGCTTGTACCTCAGTTCCCCGCCATACACTCTCGCAGAGGTACGTATGGCGCTGCAATCCCTCGGCTTCGACGGGGGTACAGTAGATGCTATCTTACGGGTACTGTGTGGCATTCTGCATATTCTGAACATAGAATTTACAGCACCTGATTTGTTTGCTCCCGCGTCTATCACATCAGGGTCGATGCCTGCGTGCACCAAGGCGGCTGCACTACTCGGATTCCCTCCCACGGAAGCGCACACTTCGCTGGAGGCTATGCTGATAACAGTACGGCTTGGACAGGATGTTCGTCAGCTGCACACTGCGGCAGCAGAGGCGGCGCGGGACTCAGTCGCGAAACACCTTTACGAGTCGTTGTTTCGGTACATTCTGCGTGGCATCAACGACGCACTGGCTCCAGCGGATGCGGGTGCGGCAAACTACACCCGCTTCTCCATCCTGGACATATTCGGCTTTGAGGTGAAGGATGCGAGTTGTGGTAACAACGATCTGGAGCAGCTTCTGATCAATTATGCAAACGAGACAGTGCAACGCTTGTATGAGGAGTCCACTTTTGACAGTCTCCTTGCAGAGTCGGCACGCGAAGGTGTGCAGCTCGACATACCGGCCAACGAAAACTGTGAGCGAAAAGCTGCTTTTGACCTTTTCGTACGGCGCCCGCAGGGCGTGCTGAACATCATTAATGACGACAGCCTTCTTGCTCAGCGGTCACGCCAGGAAAGCGGCACAAACCTCGCTGCGCTCCTAGCGGACCTTAAGCAGGTCTTCCCTGGTTTGGTAAAGCCACACCAAACAGACCCTTCTAAGGTGTGCGTGGAACACTACTGTGCTAGTGTGGTGTACGAAACTAGAAATATGTCTGCAAAGAACCGACTGTCTACATCCGCTGCCTCTATATGTGCCACAAGCTCGGATACATTCGTTCTTGAGGTTTGCGACGCCTTTTTGGCTAGTCCTACTCTAAAACAGCAGCCGCAATCACCGTTTTCTGATGATAGTGCAAAGTTGCTTGCGGCGAGGTCGCGTGCCACGACACTGATTGCACAGTTTCGTTCTCAAATGGAGATGCTTGTGGCGCAGCTAAAGGCGTCTAGACTCTTTTGGATTCGTTGCATTAAGCCAAATATTCATAAAAGCCCACATGAGTTTGATTGTGCATTCGTCCTTTCACAGCTCCAGCATAGCGCCGTGTTGAGGTCACTGATGCTGTTTGGGAAGGGTTACTGCCACAGCTTGGGCTATCAGGACTTTGTGCGAAAGTACCTTTCCCTTGCGGTGCGGGGTTATTGCTGTGATGCGCCTGATCGCGGCGGCTCCAGCAAGGGTGTTTCATTTTCTTCTTCGCATGGGACATACACAAAGCCTCGGTTGCGCCACTCTGTGGATTCTCGGGCTTTCGGGCAGCAGGTCGCATCATTTCACACTGCTGTCTACCGCGCAAGCTTCCGGGAGGCGTGTCTACTCGCAACTCGTTTTGTACCTTGTTGCACCAGCGAGAATCTGCTGCTGGGGGCAAGCAAGGTGTTCGTGCGCCCCGGCACTCTGCGCATGTTGCTCGCGCTGGGTGACGTGGCAAGGGGAAAATCGTCGAAGTGTATCGGGCGGGTGGGGCGTGCCTACATTCAGCGGCGGGAACTTGCCGCGGCTCGGGTATCCCACCTGAAAGAAAGGCGTCTTGCAGCAATCAGAGAGCGCATCGCGCGAGAGATGCCTGAGCGAGAGAAGATTGAGCGTGAGCGGGAATCCATGCTGACACGAGTAGCGGAAGGGCGGGCGGAGGAGCTGGCAGTTTTTTCGCGTCAGGCGATGAAGTCCTCAAAACGTGTAGGAAGCCATTGGAAAAATGCGATGGAGCTGCTGGTGTCCGAGCTCACCAACGCATTTGGAGAGATGTCCTCGTACGAAGCAGCGCGTATGCAGAAGGAGAAGGAAGTGCGCGATGAGGCTGCGATGCTGGAGATGTACAGAGCACAGGCGCGAAATGTCGTTGAAGAAAAGCGGCGACAGCGTGAGACGGTGCGCCGCCGTCAACTCGAGGCCCAACAGAAAAAGCGACAGGAGGGCGCCAAGGATTCCCGTCGCAGTTGCGCGGATATCGACGCCGAGCGTGCAGCGGTGATACAGGAGGAAATCATCAAGGCACGACAGTTGCAGATGCGTGTGGAGGAGGAGATTCTGGTGGAGCGGCGACAACGTACCTTGCAGCTCAAGGAGCGCAAAGAGGCGAGACAGGTACGCTTGCATCTTGACCGGCAACAAAGACGCATAGCCGACCAGGTTCGTCTAAAAGGTGAAATGAAACAGCGGCACCTTGCATCACAGCGGTACTTGCAGATGCAGTCGCTTCCCTGCTCGGAGGAGGTAAGCCTAGATGTCAGTGGGGCGGACCGAAGTACCAAGAACGGCGTGAAGAAAAATAATACGGTAAATGGTCTTGTGATATCTCCTCGCTCAAAGGCGAGCCGAACAGCATCGCGTGCGTCGGGACTTCTTCCGATTCAACAAGAGGGAACATTCAGCACCAGCAGCAGCAGGGATGGTCACGATGCGAAGGTGGAATGGGTGGTTCAAAAAGACATGATGGCTCTTTGGGAATCGCTGCACGATGGGCAGGGTCGCTGAGCAATGGTGCCTGGGGCGCTCCGTAGCTTGTGTATTTTTTTTGTGGGTTGCACTTGTTTGTGTTTGTGTCTGTGTCTGTGAGAATGCCGAATAAGGGGGCGGGCAGCAGGTAACTTCTTTTGTTGCTTTAGTCAGTGCTATTCTTTGATGAAACGAATGCAATCATCCTGTCCTCCATCTACCTTTTTTCTTAACTGAGTGGTGTGCAATTCGCTCTCTCTATATAAATATGCATATGTATATATGTATGTATCTTTTTTCCGTTATTTTTTTCCCCATTTGAAAGCGCGATTGTCCTTAGGAGGGGGATAGACTAAGAATATCGCAGTCAAAGCGTCATTGGCGGTGTGGTAGCTGCTGTTTCCTTCTAGCATCAGGGGCTTCATTAGTAGTGGGTGCCATGTCAGTAGAGAGATCTTTTGGGCGGGTGAGAATGAGATACCGAGACGAACAAGGTTCATTCACCTCCGCTCGTCTTCATGGCCCACTGCTGGTTGGCGTCTTGTTGTTGCTTTGCCTAGCGGTCGTCAACGTCACTGCCGTTGCTGCTGCGCAGGGGAGCACATGTGACCCTGTCGAGGGATATTACTTGCGGAACGGAGAGGACTATCGTGGACATGTGAATGTAACGGAAAACGGGATTCCATGCCAAAATTGGGCGGAGCAGCGCCCACACAAGCACGACACCATCGTGCCGAACCCACTGAACGGTGTGGGAAACCATAACTACTGCCGCAATCCAAGCGGCCTGGATCGACCAGGCTGCCTCACGACAAACCCCTCTGTTCGATACCAATTCTGTAGAATCGGCCCTCCATGCAACAGTACCCCAATAGAACCCGTCCTGTATTACGAACCGAAGTCCGGAACCCGATTGCAGGTGGGTCAGCCCATCACTATCACATGTTTTCCGCGCCCTTGTAGTATACATTACACGCTGGACGGCACACCCCCTAACACCGAATTTGGGACGCTGTACTCCCGCCCTTTTGTCTTAACGAAAAATACAACTGTAAAGGCAATTGCGCTCTTCGCGTCGAACCGGACGCTGAGCCGACAGGCGTTTTATTCTGTTCCACCACCTCCACCCGAAAGAAAGGCGTACTTCAGCCCCCCATCTACTGTAACGTACCGCGGTCCTGTACTGGTTGTGGTTAAAGGTTTAAAGAAGAATAATACCGTGCTCATATTCAAAAATTCAGAACTACGGGGTACACCCTATGAAGGACCGTTTTGGCTGAATGAGACTACAAACTTGACCGCTGTACTGGATGAACAGACGACCATCCATGCCAGCTATACGATTCTTGCGACAGGAGCACAAGTGGAATTGTACCCTGTGTCGGGCCGATATATTGGGGGTGCTTCGTGTCTCGTCTATCAGCCAACTCCCAACGCAAGCTACGCGGTGTCTATAAACGAGACCCAATGGGAACCACTTGACGGTATGGTCTTTGTGGTGGACAGTGTGGGCACAACTTCGGTGGCTGTGAAGGCCACCTACCTCGGTGGCGTGGAATCGATTGCGTGGCGGACGTACGAAGTCGTCGAGGCTATACCACCGGTGCTAACTCCTGTAGCCGCTGTTGTCTACACCCGCCCCATCCGCGTGACGTGTGCAGATCCGGTGGGCCGACCGCTTGCTGTCGGTGTCTTGAGCGATGAAGAGCTGCTGCTTTCTGTTCGCCTCAACACACCTGGCCAATTTACCGTGAACTGTAGTTATGTAGACGATCTTCACCGGACACAAAATACCATTGCGGTGTACAAGCTTCAGCCAGTTCCCCTTCCGATGCCGAAGCTGCTGCCGGAATGTGGGCATCATTTTCCCATGACACCTATAGTGCTGACGGCAGCTATTGTTCCGCCGCCCGACGCGGAGAGTGAAGAGGACCTGTCGCGACTGAGCGTGAGTGCGACCGTGACGAACGCCAGGCTGCGCCCTCTTCCAGAGGGCAGTTCTTTCGTTCTTGAAGCCGAGCAAAGTGTACCTGTTAACGTGTCTGTGGCTCTCTCGACACGATCCTCGCATCCGTTAGAGGGTGAAAGCGAGATACTAATCTGTCGCTACGAGATATCGCCCCTTGGATCCTTGGCGACTCCATGGTTTGTGGGCCGCCCGACATGTGGCAATCCGACAGGGTGCACCGATACAGTGGCGCGTCAACTTGCCTCCTGTATGTCATTTTACACCACGGCGCTCATCCAAAGCACGATGGTTGGACCCTTTATGATGATAAGGGTGGCTCGTCTGCCCATTTCCTTACAGATGGAGTATTATACCCGTGTAGGGAAATGCCTGCTTGACGCGTCGCTAAGTGATGTTCGTAATGAGACAAGTGGATCGATACAGTTGGCACATCGGTGGTATGTAAGCTCGCCCTCTTCGTCGTCAGATTTCATGACAGGTGTGCAGGTGATGCTAGTGGTGGAAGGCTGGGGGCTCGATGCGTGCGAACTCTACCTCGTACGGCGCGAGCACAGTTGCGACGATATCGGAGTGAACCACGTTGATCGAAGCACCATGGACACCTACTCGGAGCAACTAACGTTTATTGTTGACACCCCTGGGAGCTACAAGTTGTGTGCTGCTGTGAATGGTGCGATATACGCGGTGCCGTCGCCTGGTCTCCTCGTCGTGAGGCCCCGACCATCGCCGCTGCTGCAGCCCACGCCGTGTGGCGGACGCTCAGAGGGCCCCATCGCCGTGCTGGCCGACGTGGCACCGCGAAGTGTATACCCGGATGCCTTCACGTCGATCGACACCGGTGCGTGGTACAAAATAGCAGCAGGCACCGTGGTTCGCCTTGATCGTCTGACGGCGACGAAACCGTCGGTGACTGTGGCTTTGTCACCTGGCCAGAGGTGCGGTGCCTCAATGACATGTGTGTTCTACGCCCCGCAAGGTGACGCGCCGAGGTGGTTGACGTACAAGTGGACCATTGCTTCTGTGCGTGGGAGCGTCAATTACGTTTTGCTTGCTGTGAACGGCACCTTCTCCGGTGACGCTCGTGTAGAGTTTCGTGCTTATAGCCTGCGACAAAACGTCACGAACACCCTTTTCTTCGGAAGAGTAGCGACAGCATCAAGATCTGGAGTGATGAGTCGCAGTTATGGCAACAAATCAATGGAGGAGTCACTCATCTTCACGTCTTTGGGGACAGCAGTTGACGCCTTTGCTGTGGCTGACGGTCTACTTCCACTCACTGGTAGCGCCGACGAGTATCCGTTTTTTTTAATGGTTGTGATCGATGGCGTTTCGGTCAGCGCAGAGCCGTTAGAACTGGCCTTGTCACCGTTGTCTGTAGCGATGCATTCCTGCCCAAATTGTACTAGTGGCTGGTGCTTCGCTGATCGTTGTGTCTGCATTGGAAAGGAGAACCGCACCGCATACTTCTGCTCGGGAGTGCCCTCGCCGATGCGGCCGTCCACCTCCAGTTCCACTCACCTGGTGTTCCTCCTCGCCTACATGGCATTGCTGACGATACTGGGGGTAAACGTGGGCATGGCCATCAAGGACGGAACGAGAAAGCGAGCCAGAAAGGAGGCCCTCGGCGTCACTGTGGAGTCGTTGTAGCGGTCCCTGGCTAATCCGTGCATGAGGTGACCACGCGGATCGCCAAAACGTGTGGCTTGAGGAAAGAAGTGGAGGGTCATACAAGAGGGGGAAAAAAAAGGAAAGAACGGGATGCGAACAAAAAAAAAAGAAAAATATGTGACGCATCAAAACAGAGAACGAAAGACCAATGGGTACTACTAGTTGATTGGTTTGCCTGTGGTTTCTTTATTATTTGCCTGCTTTAAGTTTTCCTTCATTCACACCGTCTTGTCGTGCCTGTAGGGTGATGAGAGAAATAGCAGAATGCGGATGCTGGAGTGCAGGCATGCTGTGAGGCGGCGCCGCACACTCGTGGCGGTGCTGCTCGCTGTTCACATCGGCGCCGCCGTGTTTTTGATGCACACCAGCACGGATGACGCCGTCCCACAGCCCGTCCTTCAGGGAGAGGGTCAAGAAGGACTGGTTGGTGGAACGGGCCGCGGCATGCAGCTTCTGGAGGGCCGCCGCCGTTCGTCAGACCCATTAGTCACGGGGGACGGCTTCCGATCGGCATGCCACCTCGTGTTCGATGATACGTTAAGTTTGCGCGCGCAAAAAGAATTCTTGGCTGAGATCTTGCGGGCTGTGCGTGAGAAGCAAGACGCTCCGTCACCGCCGTCGGCAGTGGTGGTGTCCGTCTTTGTGCAGACGCACTTTATGGATAAGTTCATCGAGTGCTGTCTTCGGCGTGTCCCACGTGCTGACTCGGAGTGGCAGCTGCTTCTGGTGTCACACAACAGCGACGTGTCTGCCCCATTCAACAAGCGGAACCTGTACAACAAGAAGGACGACCATTCTTACACGTATCAGCTGGAGTGGGTCCTTGACAACCCGCGGGTGCGGGCGTGGTACTCCACCAACACCGCCGTCGAGCACCCAAAACTGTGGCCCATCCCTATTGGCATTGAGAACTTCTACAACGCGTATGGGAGACACGTGGATGTATACCGTGAAGCGTTGCAGCGCGTGCAACAGGACAAGAATCAAAAGCTGACAGAAGGCAAAAAACTGTTATTTGTCGCGTTTGGTCTGTCAAGTTATTACAAATATCGTGTGGAGGTTTTGCGCCATGTGAAGAAGGCATTCGCGGCGGACGCATCTAACGTCACATTTGTTCATCGACCAAGTAAACAGAAAGTAGTCACGGCGTCGGATGTCCGTGACTACATGAACACGTTGCGGGAACATCGCTTTGTCTTGGCGCCGCGTGGGAACGGCATGGACACACACCGTCTGTGGGAGGCACTCTACATGGGGAGTGTGCCGATTGTGCAGCGTTCCACAATGGACACGCGTCTTCTCTCAAACCTCCCTGTATTGCTTGTGGATAGCTTCGCCGATGTGACCCCTTCGCTTCTGATGTCGCCGCAGGCATTGGCACTGACGGCGTCGGAGCATTTTACTGGTGTTGCAAGCCGCCTCCTCAGCATGGGGTACTGGCGGCGCGTCATCACAGCGGGCGGTAAAATGCAGTAAGGAATACATGGGTAATGTGCCAGAAGACTACTACTATTTCTGTGTGGATCGCTGGGTGGCTGTTCAGCCAGAGATATTCACATCCTCTATTTCCACATAAACAGGGCTTCATTGAAGTGGGGGTATTATTTCTCGGTTTTTTTTTTGTTGCTCAAGAACTGTGGTGGACTCTTTCGGGGCAGCAGGTTGGGTGGCGACGACACGTTGAGTTGATGAAGTCACATTGTGTGCGTGTGTGTGTGTGCTTGTGTGCCGCTCGCTGCCAAACTTCCCCTTCACCTTCTCTTGCTTGCAAAGGAGGTGATGCCGGCGGCGGCAGCAGATGTCACCGCCCGCAAAGTTCGGGCGTCGCGGAGGAGACGGCGGCGGTGGGTGCGCCGCACTGTGTGGGCTATTATGTGGTGGGCGGGAGCCGTAACACTTGGCAAAGCTCATCTCGACTCTGTTCGAATGTACATCATTGTGTCTGTGTTGCTCGGTATATTTTTATCGCTGAGACGCGTGCGGCAGACAAGCGCTGAAGACGAGGATTCGGATGAGACCCCCTTGAGTGCCTCCGTGGATAACACCACCCATAGCGCGCGCGGTGGCAGTGCTGTTGCTGCAACCGCTCCATATTGCAGCGCCGCCTCCATACAGAGGCAGTGCGCGGCCTTCGCAGTCCTGAAGGCCATTGGAACATCACAGGCTGTTCGGGCCATTCGGGATGAGGATCTTCGGGACCGTATACTCAACTCCCCGCCGGACGCTGTCGTGTGTTGCTGCGGAAGTGGGAAGCGTTTCTCGCGATGTTGTCTCGTGCTACAGGAGGAGTTGCGTCGGTGTGGATTATAATCTGTTTGGTGGGTGAGGACTGGTAATCCCAACACTCTGCATGTGTCTCGTTGCTGTGGATCTCTAATTTGCATCCTCTACTTTCTCCCCTTCTTTTTCTACCTTTGCTTGCTTCGTGTGGTGTATGGAGCCAATGCAGAATGGCGCCCCGGTCCGGTCGTCTATTGCTGCATACAAAGCGCCAGCTGCTGCTGTTGCTGCCGATGTGCCTGGCGCTGGCCGTGGTAGTCTTCCTTGCGCTGGGCACGTGGGAGCTGGTTGTGGACACCGACAGAAGCGCGCTCCTAGTACCTACAGCAGAGAATACCGACACTGATCTGCCGCAGGTTCACCTCGAAGACTGTGCAGCACGTTTCTTTGAAGCGAATTACATGCGTTCGCTGCGGGAGACCTCCATAGCAGAGCGGGACGCCGCACACCTGCGCCACGTCGGCGTCGACCACGTGTACATCATCCACTACACCCCACTGCGGTATCGGCGGGGAAACCTCACAGCAATGCTGCAGATGCATGGCGTAACGGGGGAGTGGGTCACGGGCTTCGACAAGGAGGTACTCAATGAGACCACCGATCACTGTTTTCACTACTTCGATGCGCACAGTCTGACAGGAGCGAAGTCTAGTCGGTACGTCACGTCAGGCTTGTTCCCCAAGCCACTCGGGCCTGCGCAGCGCAGTGTCGTGGTGAAGCACTTCAGCGCCCTCTACGACGCGTACCGCCACAACTACCAGAGGGTCCTTGTCCTCGAGGATGATGTGCTGCTGCGCGCTGGTTTTGTGAGCCGTCTTGGCGAGGTTGTGCGTGATACGCCGCCTGGCTTCGATGCAATTTTTGTTGGTGGGTGCATGCGCTTCTACGCGTGGCGGCGCAAGACCAATTCGGAGCTCATCACGAAGCACATATACCGCAAACAGTCGTCGCGCTGCGCCCATGCGTTTGTTCTATCACAGGCTGGAGTTCGGAAACTGCTCCGGTCGTTGCCGCTCACAGAGCCTATCGATTTCCAGATGAATCTAGCGATGCGGGAGGAGAAGATGACGGTGTATTGGGTGGAGCCCTGGATGTCAGTGCAGGGGCAGTTTGGGGAGGCCACCTGTGTGACCAAGACAGATCTCAAGGATGCCGGTTCTTGTCGCTTTTCAACGTTGCAGCGCTACAGCCAATCATTTGATTTGCGCTACGTGAACGACACCGAGGTCTTGAAGCGCTGGGAAAATGTGCCGGCGTTCCGAAGCGTCCGTTGAGAAATTTTGATTACTTTTTCGTTTGCTGTTTGCATATGTGCCTTTGTGTTTGCATCATGTGGGGGTTTCCGGTATTCCCTGAAGTAGTTTTCTCGCTGGGCTGATATATATATATATATATATATATATA